ATCCGCCTGCCTCTGCCTCCCGAGTGCTGGGATTAAAGGCGTGAGCCACCACCGCCCGGCTATAATTTTATTTTTTAAATGCTGTATAAAATGTCACAGAGAGATGTGTATCTTGAGAGCATTGGTATAATTCTCTGATGATCCATCCAAGTTGTGTTTATTAATTCATTGCTGAGTAGTATTCATATGGATATGCTGAAATTACTCTCTTGGTGAAAAATATCTGAATTGTTTTGCAGGTTTAGCTTTTATAAATAAAGGCGCTGTGATATTTGCATACAAGTTTTTGTGAAATGAGTTATGTCTCTCTCATAGAGCTTAGCATTGCACTTTTGGGCTTTGTGCAGTTTTTGTATCCCAAGAAGTGGCATCCTGGTGTGACTGGTGTTTTTGTTAGTGTTCTGGTAATAAAATCAAAAGGGTTGGGGTTAGAGATTGCCTTTGTTGTGTTTTTCCAGTAAATGCTGGGTTTTGTTTTTTATTTTTTTTCATTGAGTCTTCTGCTGGCCTTTATGTTTTCTTCAGGGATGCATATGCCATGCCATATCAGAAATACATAGACATCAAGTGTTGTGGCACACGCTTTTAATTCCAACACTTGAGAAGCAGGCAGGTGGATTACTGTGAGTTGGAGGCCAGCCTGGTCTACATAGTGAGACCCTGTCTCCTAAACAAAACACATAGATAAAAGTTAGGGGTCTGAGTGGGAAATGTGAATGGTGAAGCCTGATACTTTTCTTTACTCAGGGATGATGGTCCCTCTTCCTCAGTCTCAGCACTCAAGCGTCTGGAACGCAGCCAGTGGACAGATAAGATGGACTTTAGGTTTGGTTTTGAGAGGCTGAAAGAGCCTGGAGAAAGGACCGGCTGGCTCATCAACATGCACCCTGTAAGTATCTGGATGAATACTGCTCAGCCTTTGTTTCTAGTGGGTGGCTGTACCCTTTCCTATAATCATCGATCTTATCTAATGGATAGGTGATAGGGAAGAAGAAAGCCATTGTCTGAGAAATCTAGTCATTGGAAGTGCTTCTCTTTCCTGTTTAACATGAAGGCCACAGAGTGGCCACCGTGGTAAGACCAAGATGAATGATCTATTAACCATCAGCAGAAAGCTTTCAAGATTCATTAAAGGGGGGGGGGGGGACTGGAGAGATGGCTCAGAGGTTAAGAGCACTGACTGCTCTTCCAGAAGTCCTGAGTTCAATTCCCAGCAACCACATGGTGGCTCACAACCATCTGTAATGAGATCTGGTGCCCTCTTCTGACCTGAAGTTATACATGCTGTATACATAACAAATAAATAAATCTTTTTAAAAAAATCATTAAAGGGAAATTCAGAAAAATACTGGGGAACCATTATAATTCGGTCCTTATGAATGAGGCTGGTAGTGTTTGTATAGGGGCAAAATAAAGGACTAGGTGCAAGGATTTTGTCTTTATAGTACTCAGTTTCTCAAAAAGTAGCTCAGATAGAGCTCTTGGGCTATGTAGAAGATAATGATCTCATGTTCCATGGTTCTCCTACAGACTGAGATTTTAGATGAAGACAAACGCTTAGTCAGTGCAGTGGATTACTACTTCATTCAAGATGATGGAAGCAGATTTAAGGTAAGCCCTCGACCTAAGAAAACTAAAGCGTACTCATGATAGGTAAGTGCTCTAAAATAAGGAGTATTCATTCTCTCTGTGTCAGGGAAGAAATGGGAGGCTATAGTGTGCAGTTGCTTGCAACCCATCAAGAACATGGCCCCTGTGACCTTCAGTCACATTTAAAATATCCTGAAGGAAGGTAGCTCAGGAGGTTGAACAGTATTGTTTCTTGGGTTCTTGCCCATGAGAGATGTGCAGATCTAAATTTCATATATACAGTATCTTTAAAGAGCTGTCAAAAAAAGGGACTGGAGAGATAGCCCAGTGTTTAAGAGCACTGGCTGCTCTTCCAGGGGATCCACATTCAATTTCCAGCAACCTACAAGGCAGCTAACAGCTGCCTGTAACTCCAGTTCCAGGGAATCCAATGCCCTCTTTTGTTGTCTGTGGTCATTAGGTGTGCACTTGGTATATAGACATACATTCAGGCAAACATCCATACATATAAAATAAAAATAAATCTTTAAAAAAAAAGAAAAAAAAGCCCTCAAGGTCCAAGTTACTCAGGTTGCCACTCTGAAATCTTTTTTCCCTTTTTTCTTCCTTGTCACATCCTTTTGGTGACTTTCATAGGTGGCCTTGCCCTATAAGCCGTATTTCTACATTGCAACCAGAAAGGTAAGTCTGCTTGGTAGAAACAGGTGGAATGATCTGTTCCTTGTCCTACCTAGTGGATTTCAAAATGGAAATGGGTAAGAAGATAGATCTTACTAATAGAAAATACATGAATTCTGATCCTGATATAGGGTTGTGAGCGTGAAGTTTCATCTTTTCTATCCAAGAAGTTTCAGGGTAAAATTGCAACACTAGAGAATGTTCCCAAAGAAGATCTGGACTTGGTGAGTATCCCCAGACCTTCCAGGGGCAGGTGAGGTTGGTGTCCACACTGTTTATAGCAGACAGTTATGGATGAGATAGAAGGCCAGGTCATTTACTGGGTAGTGGGGCAACCTGGAGGATGAGAGATGGTGGTTGCTCCCAAAGCTGTCTTTAAGGAACTTTGGTGGTACTGCAGGTGCCATATGTAAAAGTAAGCTAAATGCTTTGACTTGTATGTATTTACCTAACAGTCTTTACCTTCCTGTTTCTCATTAACTCATCAGTTGTCATTTTACTTTAAAGCCAAATCACTTGGTCGGCTTGAAGCGGAGTTACATCAAACTGTCCTTCCACACTGTAGAGGACCTTGTCAAAGTGAGGAAGGAGATCTCCCCTGCTGTGAAAAAGAACCGGGAGCAGGACCATACCAGTGATGAGTACACAGCAATGCTTTCCAGGTAACTTTCCTTCTCGTGAGCAAAGTTCCGGTTATTCCAGAATAACAAGCTGATATAAGGCAGGAACTCTTCAGAGAAAAATCCCTTCATGTTTGGCTGTGTGCAGACATTTTAGATGTTCTTTCTGTTAAATAAACACTAGCTTCCCACGGTTGTGTTCTGTTTTGTGCTTTAGCTCCTCTTACAGAGGAGGTAGGTGTGGCTCTAAAATTGAGTTGCTGTAGCAATGAGGATATTTTAGAGGGTCCCTCCTCTGCCACTTTAATACTGTCTACAAATGTTATCAAGTGTTTTGTTTTATAGATGCTTTCTCCAGAGAACCTGGAGTATACAGAGAAATTTAAATGCAGAATACCAAGTACTGTTATTAAATGTTTAGGCACATTAATAACAGAAAAGCAAAGTAAAAACAAAAACCAGAGTCTTGGGTAATTAAGTTTGCATGATTTCAGAAATACTGATCACTACCTTTTGATAAAGAATCAATTTGAAGCCAGGCAGTGGTGGTGCACGCCTTTAATCCCAGCACTCGGGAGGCAGAGCCAGGCAGATCTCTGTGAGTTTGAGGCCAGCCTGGTCTACAGAGTGAGTTCCAGGACAGGCGCAAAGCCACACAGAGAAACCCTGTCTTGAAACCCCCCACCCCCCAAAAAAAGAATTAATTTGAGATCCAGGTGTGGTGGCACATGCTTTTAATCCCAGCACTCAGGAGGCAAATGGATCTCTGTGAATTAAAGACTAGCCAGAGCTATTTAGAGAGACCCTGTTTCAAAAAAAGAAAAAGGGCTTGATTATGAATCTCCAGAACCCAGATAAAGCTAGTGAGCATGTAATCCCAGTGTTTCTATGGTGAGATCAGAGACAGACATGAGAATTCCTAGAAGTTCGCAAGCCAGCCAACTTGGTGTATGCAGCAACAAAACAACAAAAAAGAGACCTTACCTCAGTAAGAAGCAAGCAAGGACCAACACGCAGTGTTGGCCTCTGTCCTACATATGTGCATTCTGGCATACATGCATATACACTAAAAAGAAAAATCAAATAGAACTACTCCCCCTCCAAAAAAATCAGTATGAGACTTTGGACACTTTTGCAGTGTATCGCTTAACTCCAGTCATCTCTGGTGATGCCATAAATTACTTTTGGAATATTTTAAGATGAAGTTTGTAACAGCCTATGAGCTCTCTTTGATGGCTGCCATTTTTTTCCTCTTAAACCACTTAATTTTGAGCTTAGAGTGATAGATTGTATTTTATTTTAGTTTAAATTTTGTGTATATTTGTGTGTTGCTGAGGATTGAACCTAGAGCCTTGTGCACACCACTGACCTTTTCTTTGTCTCTCTTCTTTCCTTTAATTGGCTGGTTGGTTGGTGATTGGTTGGTTGGAGTCAGGTTCTCATACTGTAGCCCAGTTTGGCATGGAACTCATTATGTAGACCAGGCTGGCTTTACATTTAAAACCCTTGTCCTGCCTTAGCTGCTCAATTGTTAGGATATTTAGTGGCTCTTCCAATGAAAGATTTTCCACTTGAATATAAGACTATTATAGAAATAGTTGACATTATCTAGTCACTTCATCATACACCAAGCTAGATGCTTTATGACATTAATACTTCACTCCTACAGGATAATCTAGTTACTGTCATCTTCATTTTCTTAATGAAGAAAGGGATGTTTTGCAAGGGTGGGCTGCGTCTGTTAATACTGCAGCTGTCCACAACTCTGCTCACTTCAGCTTTGCATGGAGCAACCTGCTAGTAGAGATGATGTGTTGGAAATACCACACTGGGGAGTCCGTCTAACTATAGTGCAATGTCTTACTTATGTCTTGTAAAATGTACACATCTCCAGTATACCTTAATTCTCTTTTCTCTGACCTGTTGGCTCATGTTGGGTGATAATCCAAGGCCATTTCTTGAATGATTGCCCTGGACTTTACAGCCTCCCCATTTGCCTTAGTGTTTACTCACTTTGGACTCTTAAATCTTTACTTCCCCAGTACCGTGCAGATCATAATCGAGTTAGTGGCTTTCTTTGCTTACTCTCCAGTATTCTGCAAGGAGGCAATGTAATTACTGATGAAGAGGAAACCTCTAAGAAGATATCTGACCAGTTGGACAACATAGTGGACATGCGGGAGTATGATGTTCCCTACCACATTCGCCTCTCCATTGATCTCAAAATCCATGTGGTAAGGTGAAGGTAGCTGTTGCTTGAGTAAAGTCCCTGGAGAGGGATGGAGGACTCTGGATAAATCTGCACAGAAATAGATTTTTCTGGAGCCAGCAAGATGGTTTGGTGGGTAAAGGCACTTGCTGCCCTGAGTTTGAACCCCAGGATCCACATGGTGGTAGGAGAGAACCAACTCCTACAAGTTGTTTACTGACTTACACACATGCATACACACACACATTCACACTCTAAGTAAATGTAATTAAAATTTTTTTGTTAAGTAAATAGACATTTCTGGATGGAGAACTCTTTCTTTAGTTAACGTATGCTTCATTATTCTGCAGGCTCATTGGTACAATGTCAGATTTCGAGGAAATGCTTTTCCTGTGGAAATCACCCGACGAGTTGATCTTGTTGAACGACCTGTAAGTTGTTGCATTTCCTCCGCCCTAAAATCTATTTCTTCTTTAAATACTTTCTGAAAATATTAGTTTTTTTCATCAGTCTCTAACCTAAAAGCATATTTTTGCACTTATGTTAATCATAGACATCAATATTTGAGCTAGACTGGATTTGAACTCTTGAGCTTTCATTTAGGTACTTAATAGCCAAGTGATTGATGAGAGTAGATTTGTAAGTAGAAGATATTAGTTCAGGTATCACTTTTAGTCATCAGGAAAATCTTTGTCTTCAGTTTTCTTGTTTCCAAGATGAAAATGTCAGCTCCAGCACAGTCACTTGGTAGTGCTGTCCTAAAGTTCAGGTAAGACAGTGCATGATAAGGAGCTTTGAAACTGAAGTGCTCCAATGAGTAGCTTTATCTCTTGTGTTTTCATTTCCATACCCTCAAAAACCTCACCATGGGGTTTTGTTATTAAGAAATTTTCTATTCATTTTGCATACCACCCACAGATCCCCCTCTACTCCCTCCTCCTGCCCCCTATCCTTCCCCCACAATCCACCCCCCATTCCCACCTCCTCCAAGGCAAGGTCTCCCGTGGGGAGTCAGCAGAGCCTGGTACATTCAGTTGAGGCAGGTCTAAGCCCCTCCTCCCTGCACCAAGTTTGTTTTGGCATATGTATGGTTATTTTATTTGTGGTGCTGGTAATTGAACCCAGGGCAGAATGTGCGTGTCCAAGGGATGTGTCCAGATCTGAATTCATGGTATATTTTGTCTTTCTAGGACCCTGTGGTTTTGGCATTTGACATTGAGACAACCAAACTGCCTCTCAAATTTCCTGATGCTGAAACAGACCAGATTATGATGATTTCCTATATGATTGATGGCCAGGTGAACAGAATCTCTTATTGGGAAACTTTAAATGCTTTTGTGGGGATTTTGTTATTGTTTTTGAGGCAGGGTCTCACTATGTGGCTCATCTTTGCCTCATACACATGGTGGTCCTCCTACCTCAGCCGTCTGAGTTCTGAGATTATAGGCAGATGCTCCTACGCCCAGATCACCTTTATGTTTTTGTGGAGTTCTTTGAAATTAGTTTCTTGAAAAGCTTATGGGTGGGCTGGGAGTTTGTGTCTCACCTTTTCTGTGGTTGACTTGCGTTGTGTGCTCATAAACTTTACCAGGGCTACCTCATCACTAACAGGGAGATTGTTTCAGAAGATATTGAAGATTTTGAGTTCACTCCCAAACCAGAATATGAAGGGCCCTTTTGTGTCTTCAATGAACCCGATGAGGTAAAGAAGCTTCCTGTAGAAACTTTCTTGTGTTTGGTATAAGGTGGGAAGAGGCAAACTGATTCTTGAGCTCAGATGCTTTTGCTCAGTGAGCTTTCTCTTCTTTGGCCAAGGCTAGAGTAGGTCCTTAGTGTATGGGCTGACGTGAAGCTGCTGCTTCTGAGTGTTTGGGGAGGTATTTGTAAGCTGCTGACTTCTGTTATTTGTTGAGCTCAGGTCCATTTGATCCAGAGATGGTTTGAGCATGTCCAGGAGACCAAACCTACTATTATGGTCACCTACAATGGGGATTTTTTTGACTGGTGAGTCCAACTTCCTGTTGTGGGTAATTGTGTTAGGGTGAGGTGGGAGAGGAGCAGCTCTGCCTGGCAGTTCACTCCAGTGTCTCCTGGGAGCCGTCTGTCTGTATTCAAGGAAGAACAAAGGAAGAATTGGAGACTCATGTATCCCCATTGCTTGTTTCTTTTGTTGTTAGGCCATTTGTGGAGGCTAGGGCAGCAGTCCATGGCCTGAGCATGTACCAGGAGATAGGTTTCCAGAAGGACAGCCAGGGGGAATATAAAGCATCCCAGTGCATCCACATGGACTGCCTCAGGTATGTATATACCTCATAGTAGGGGCTCATTACTATGACCTCATGAATGATATATAAAGGTTTCTTGTGCAGACAGAGGCCATTGACACATCTGTTGTGAGAGGAGATTGGCCTCCATGGAACAGCTTTGGGTCATAGCTTGTTGCTAGTCAACAAGTATGTTAAACAGCAGCCTGCAGTATAGAAAAGCTGGGCTAAGCCAGGCGGTGGTGGCTCACGCCTTTAATCCCAGCACT